TTCTATATATAGCAAGATTTAACACAATGGTGGGGTCTTGGATTAAGTGGTTGCTGTAATGGGGGTGGTGAGCATTACATTCCGAGGAGGAAAAGTCAAAATATTATTATAGCTTAAGGGTCGGTCAAGTCAAGTGTCACGGTTCTGAAGACCATCTCTAACCCATCTCTAATTTCATCTCTAAAATAGAATATAAAGTCAAATTTACTCCAATCCATCTATATTTTCATCTTTATAATAGAAATTGCTATTTTTTTCTCTATATTTGGAGATGGAAATAGAAATTTTTTTTGTCATATCCTAAAAAAAAAAAATAACATTTTTCTAAAATAGAATCATATATTGGAGAGAAAATAGAGAAATATTATTTTTTACTCTATTTTAGAGATAAATTATAAAAAAATACATTAGAGATGCGACCCAAGTCGCAAGATGCATCCTTTCTTTTCTTCTAGTAATGACGGTCTTTATACGGTTGATTAATGACTAAATTTGTTAACCAAAGTCAAAAGTCTACGTCTTGCATACTTGTTTTTATTCACCAGTGAGTCCCTTCTTCTACGGAATCAGCTCACGTCACTGTGTCATGACTAATGATGATGTAGAGCATCTTGTGTATGCTCTAATGCTTTCGCTGAGTTTTGTACGATTCAACTTTGGAAGAATATTGAAGGTCTTTCTTTTAACCACATCAACGTAGTTAAATCTATTTCCGTTACTCTTGATTGTGGTATCTCAATATCTCTTATTAGTAGAGATGTTTGAAGAAACCGAGGAAGTTCAGTAAGCAATTGAAAATATAAATAAACCAAGAGAAAAGTTGACCTTGATAGTTTATATTGGGTTATTTTTTTTTTTTCTCGAGTAAGATTTTAAATATATATTTTGTTTTGTAATTATGATGGACTACATTTGCTCCTTTTTAATTTAATGCAAAATCTTTATCAAATTTTTTTAAAAAAAACAAGGACAAATTAGTATTTAGTGTTTTTTTTAACTAAAAAAACCAGCTTTATAATAAGAACACGCCGCTTAAATTAAATAAAAATAAATAAAAAAACCA